TTTTTTTTTTTTTTTTTGTAGTTTTTTTAATTATTAAAAACTACCCCGATACTAAAGTTTGAATTTTTTTAAAACTATGTTAGTAGAACATGGTACCTCAGTTTCAAGTACGAGATATTGAGGTCAACTCTTTACTTTATTTGTCACAAAACCTGTCACCGACATGATGCTTGACCACTTACATTTCAAAGCTTATATTTAAGTTATGTTCTCGAGAGAGATTTAGATCATATTGCATATATTTAAAGACATTGAAAAAGGTAATAGATTAAAGTGAATTGTAAATTTTGAACGTTCGGGGACATCTTGATCTTGTGATGTCTCAAAGCTTTAAGTTAGAGTTGTGTTTTAGAGAGAGGTTTAGATTAGATCGAGATTAGGTACGTCACGAAGACATTACCTCTCCCTTTACTAAAGAAGAAATTGCATGAGCTTTCTAACCAAGTATGATAACACCAGGTGGCCTTTTTCGTTAGTATTGCCTTTACTATCAAATAGATGAGCCTTTTAGGGTTATGTCAACAGGTTAACATTATTCGGGCATGTGACCATGAACAACAATTAAAAAAGGGGTCTGGTACAGGCATGCGACCATGGACAACACGTCTTGGACAAGCATGACAGGGATATCCGTCGTGCAACCACAGGCAACATGCCGTGAACAAGCATGACTATGACACTAGGTCAGCATTGTCCGATATTCACTTCGACAAGCTTAAGTTAAGACCCAGACACGTGTCTTCGGGTAATTGAGCCATGTGGGAAGCCCACACTCCACCCCTAATAGCCTACAACACCATGATTGAAGGCAATACACCCCTCAAACACAAGTACAAAACATAAACAGACGTGTTGCCCACAAAGTGTTCGACGAAATGTCAACAAGAACTATGAATTAAAATTTCTTTGGGCTTGAACTCGCCCTTACTTCTCTGCACGACGCATCAATATTTCTCAAAAGAAAATGGGAAAAATGGTGAAGAATGATTGATTAGAGGTTGAGATAAAGAGAAGAAAACAAAGAGAAAGTGGGGCTGTCATGGTGTGTTTGATAATCACATGGCGGGTGATTGGATTGGCGTTGGCGAAGTGAGCACATGGTGTGCGCCATTTTTTGGCCGCTCCTTTAAATATCCCAACCGTGACAGCTGCGCTAACGCCAAATCCCATGTCTCTAATAATACCAATACAAATTGAGGATTCATTATTTGGAGCATTTTTATTGAATCTATTATGAGTTCTTCTTTGAAAAAAAAGTCATTTTTTAATCCTTATATTGAGATGACGGGTTGACTTTTAAACCTTATTATCGGGTGATTTTGGACGACAAATTAGCTGGTTGATGTAAGACACACGAGTTTGGTCAACGAATATTTAGAAAATTCGAGATTTATTAGATGCCACTATATCCCCTATAATGCTCGAGTCATGTTGAGGTAAATTTGTTTGTTAACCGACAACACAATTCTTTTTAAATATAAATTAAATTGAAAAAATGAGAATTATCCGTTAAATTTTTTAAAACGAGTATTTTTGTTAAAAATATATGACAATGGAAGAAAATGACTAAATAATGCTTAGAATCTCACTAAAGTATCCTCTTTAGAAGAGCACAAGCAAGTCCCCTCGATACCTCAGATTCCTTCTTTCCTTGAGACACCTAATCCTCGTGCTCATCACTCTGGTATCGTTGTTAGGGATCACTGTTTATTCAATGGGACAAAAAAGGTGGAAACTCAATGCCTATTAGGAATCACTGTTTTAGGATGCAGGGTCTGAAACCGAGACTAGGACTGGGACTGGCTAGGCTTCCTTGTACCGTCCTTTCTCCGTCCCGCCCAAAGGACATCACCTAAGATATTTAGAACCATTTAAGCTTAATCTTTTCGATTATCCCTAATTATTATTATTTTGAATTCAAATTTATTATTCCATATTTCGTTTACAATAAATATTGAAAATATTTATGGCAAAAATGTAATTAATGAAGAATTGATGAGCCTTTGTTGTTAAGCAAATGTATTTTAATTTAATTTTATTGCAATATTTTCTTGGAAAAATTGATTAAGGAATGAATTAATTGTATTATTGTGAAAGCTAAGTTTTGTGGGGCTCTCCACATTGAGGTGTTTTTGAAAAGTTGCTTACAATATAATTAAAAGAAAAAGGGTTTGGTGGATTTGTTTAAAATTGCTAAGTTGTATTAAATGATGAAAAGATTCAATTCAAAAGTGTAGTGTCTATTGAGTGTGTTCCAACTTTCGTAGTTGTGACGTTTGGAATCAGGTTCGTTTTAATTCTCACCGTCCATGTTCAAGATTCGGCACTTGATGGCTTTGGTATTCCCGTGTATCCCTGCGATATAGTCACGTTACTTCTCGTTTCGTCCCCCTCTCCAACCGATGTGTGATCTCACAATCCACCCCCCTTAGGAGCCTAACGTCCTCGTTGGCACCCCCTCTCCAACCGATGTGTGATCTCACAATCCACCCCCCTTAGGAGCCTAACGTCCTCGTTGGCATACCGCCTGATGTCTAACTCTAATACCATTTGTAATAGCTCAAGCCTTGATGGCTTTGGTATTCCCGTGTATCCCTGCGATATGGTCACGTTACTTCTCGTTTCGTCCCCCTCTCCAACCGATGTGTGATCTCACAATCCACCCCCCTTAGGAGCCTAACGTCCTCGTTGGCACACCGCCTGATGTCTAACTCTAATACCATTTGTAATAGCCCTTAGGAGCCTAACGTCCTCGTTGGCACACCGCCTGATGTCTAACTCTAATACCATTTGTAATAGCTCAAGCCCTCCGCTAACAGATAATATCCGCTTTGGCCCGTTATGTATCGTCATTAGTCTCACGATTTTAAACGCGTCTATTAAAAAGAGGTTTTCACACTCTTATAAGGACCGTTTCGTCCCCTTCTCCAACCAATGTGGGATCTCACAATTCACTCTCCTTGGGAGCCTAACGTCCTCGCTCGAACGCCGCCTAATGTCTAATTCTGATACCATTTGTAACAGCCCAAGCCCTTGGTTGACAGATATTGTCCGCTTTGACTCGTTATGTATTGCTGTTAGTCTCACGACTTTAAACGCGTCTACTAGGAAGAGGTTTCCACACCCTTATAAAGATTGTTTCATTTCCCTCTCCAGTCGATATAAGATCTCACACCAACACAAGTCGTTTCAGCATGTTTTGTCATCACTCTCATCTTCGTAGAAAATCGAGGTCACTCAATATCGCTCTTATTTATTAGTTATTAACTTTCAGTTTTCGTAAATTTTTCTTAGTTATTTTATCCTCAGGATCGCTCTTATTCAGATATGACATCGATTCATTTATGTATCTGTCGTTTACTCGAGTGTCACATCAATGCACTATAATTTATTCCATCAATGAAAATAATAAACTAATCTTTTATATAATTTATTGTAATTATATAAATAATATATATATATATATGTATGTATGTATTTTTGGGAACATACTAGGAGAGATTTGTACTTTTGGAGGCTGTACGGCACCGTTTGGTGAACATGCATGTG